AGCCACCAAAACCGCCGCACCGCTGGCTGACTTGGCGTTTGGAATTGTTTTGTTTGTTTGTTTTGTTTTGTTTTTTTTTTTAGAGAGTTTTTTGCCATAGAATACATGCGCTTGCTGGAGACACAGAGAGAGTAAAAAATCCCCCGCCCCCGGAGATGGCCTCGCTGCAATCCCTCGCCTCCATTCTCCTCTGGGGTTTTGGCACATGTGCCCAGCGTGAGTTCCAAGGCACTGGGTCTGGGACTCAAACCGCAGTTGCCCATGTGTGAGTCCAGCACTTTAGCCACCATGCCTGCTGGCCCAGCATTCAGAACTTTAACGTGAATCTGGGAGGGTGGCAGTCTCCCTGTGTTGCGGGTGCTGGGCTATGACCTACACCCCTGCCCTCTCCACCACCCCCGTCCTGACGTTTCTGAGTACTTTCTTTTTTCTCAATTAAATGTTTACCGTAGGGCACATGCCTGGATGGAGAGAGAGCGAGAAAGAAGGGAAAGTCCCTCTCCCTCCTGTGGACCTTGGGCGTGCACGCACACGCTGCTGGGTGCCAGACTCGAGCCGTGCTGTTGGCCTGGTGGGATCCAGCCCCCGTAAGCTCTGTGCCACCAGTTGGCCCATGTGTTTCTTCCTTATTTATGATAGAGTCTGTGCACACGGACATTGTACTGGGGGTGAGCACCCTGCTCAAGGCCTGGCCACACCGCAGGCTCCCTCTCCAGACCCACAGCCCACCGGGTCTCAGCACTGTCTGTGCCTGGTTTTCTTCTGGTTGCTCAGGCTGGGGATTTGAACTGCAGTTACCACAAAGACGTGTTACCACTTCACCTTAGGCGCATCCCAACATTCGACAAAACTTGTTTTTTTTAAATTGCCAAGGACATGCATACTCCCCAGAAACAGAGACAGAGAAAGCACCCACTGACAGGAGGGGTCATGCCACAAGCCTTTTCCCTCCATTTGCATCCTGGGGTGTGGGGCCTGCAGGTGGTGTGATGGTTAAGGCACTGGACTCTCACATGGTCGACTGCGTTTTGAGTCCTGCAACCATGACTTTGAAACTTATGCCGGGTGTGTGTACATGTGTGTCCAAAATCCTGAGAGGAGAGTGGAGGAGGAAGAGAGTGGAAGAGAAGGGATTGCGGTGTGGCTGTCCCTCTTGGAGGATGGTTTCTCACTTTCTATCTCTCTGTGTCTCTCCAGCAAGCACACGTGCCCTATAGCAAAAACCTCTTATAAAAAAAAGGCTTAGGGTGTGTGCGCACTCACGCCCAGCATGTTCTTCAAGGCTCTGGGCCAGGACGTGGACCTGGGTTGGCTGTGTGGGAGCTGGCTCCGAGTGCTGTACTTGACTACGGCACCGCGGGCCTGGCCTGACAGGGCTCTCAATGGAGGCCAGTTTGAAGTGGCCAATGTATTGATTTCTTGGTTATTTGCCTCTGAACATTCTAGTGTTGACATCCCTGCCTGCCCTGGCGGTCCCGCCTTCCACCCCCACCAAAGCTGTGTCCCCCACGGTGGTCAGCGGCCTGGAGATGTCGGAGCAGCGGAGTTGGCTGTACCTGGAGGAGATGGTCAACTCTTTAGTCAGTACAGCGCAGCAGCTGAAGACGCTGTTCGAGCAAGCCAAACAGGCCAGTTCCTACCGCGAAGCCACTGCGACCCAGGCCAAAATTCAAGCGGACACAGAGAGGAAAGAGGTAATGTTCACGGCAGCGTGAAGGCACAGGATCCGTGCTCGTGTCGTCCTGTGGCTTCCGTGGGCCCAGGCCAGTCGCGTGACGTCTGCGTTGGCTCTCCGTTCTGCCGTCGTGCGAGTGAAGGCCTCCTCATAGGGAAGGACGGCTGCTGTTGGTTGGGGTTCTGGTTCTGTAAATAAGACTGAGTTATCTCAGAAGGGAAATATTTTTATGCATGCCAATCATTGTTTTTGAACAGTCACCTTTTGTAGACATTGGTGTGTTCTGGTTGTCTTCAGATGTGTCTTATTTTGTTTTAAAGATTTATTTGTTTGCTTTATTTACCATTATTATTATTATTACTGTTTTTACTCTGCTATAGTACATGTGCCCTCATGAGAGAGAAAGAGAGGGACCCATTATTATTATTATTACTGTTTTTAATCTGCTACAGGACATGTGCCCTCATGAGAGAGAAAGAGAGGGAGAGGGAGAAATGAGGCCGTTGGGTCCAGGACTCAAACTGCAGTTGGCCATGTTGGAGTCCAGGACCTTAATCACCATGCCACCTCCTCGCCCTGTCTTTTATTTTAATTGCCAGAGGGCATGTGTGCTTGCTAGAGAGAGAGAGAGACGGAGAGAGGGGAAGAAGCAGGATGTGGGGAAAGGGCAAAAGCATCCCCAAACAGGGCATGGTCCTGCCCAGTCCTGTCTGCATTTCTCTGGATTTGGGGCATACGCACATGTGCCTGGTGTATATTTCAAGTTGCCAGGGCCAGGATTTGAATGGTGTACTCTGCTATGTGGGATTGAGCTCCTTAACCATCTGGTCACAAGACCAGCCCAATGAACTGCATCTTAGTGTGTCATTTTTTTTTTTTTTTGAGAGAGATTTTTCGCTATAGGGTGCGTGCACTCGCTAGACAGACATAGAGAAAGAAAGCGAGAAATCACCCCCCCAGGGGGGATGGTCACGCTGCAATCCCTTCTCCTCCATTCTCCTCTCGGGATCTTGGGCACGCACGCACATGCACCCGGTGTGAGTTTTAAGCCACCGGGTCCGGGACACGAACCGCAGTCGACTATGTGGGAGTCCAGCGACATAGCCACTATACTGCCTGCTGGTCCCTCTAAATGACTTTTGAACATGCAGTAAACTTGTTTATAAGGAAGAAAAATGTAGTTTCTACTCCTGAAGATACAGATCATTTTAAGATACCTTTTTTATTATTAATTTAAGACAGAGTCTTGCCATAATGTGGCTTTCCTGCCTCCGCTTCCCAGCTGGGCCCATAGGCACCTGCCACGTAGCTCTGAATAGGCACCTGCCATGTGGCTCTGAAGGTCCTTTTTCTTTTGGAGAGGTTTTTGCTATAGGGCATGTGCTCGCCAGAAAGAGAGAGACAGAGAGACAGAAAGTGAGAAATCACCCTCCAGGGGGGATGGCCACGCCACAATCCCTTCTCCTCCATTCTCCTCTCAGGATCTTGGGCATGCACGCACATGCGCCTGGTGTGAGTTTAAGCCACCTGGTCCGGGACGCGAACTGCAGTCGACTACATGGGAGTCCAGCGACATAGCCATTATGCCACCTGTTGATCCCTATCCTTAAAAAAAAAAAAAAAAAAAAAAAAAACGAATTTTTTTTAACTTTATTTTTTTATTTGACCAGAGAGGGATAGAATGAGAGAGAGGGAGAGAGCAAAAGTGAGAAAGCAAGCCACCAGGTCTGGGACTCGAACCCCAGTCATCCATGTGGGAGTCTAGTGCCCTCAACCACCATGCCACCTGCCAGCCCCTTAAGATACTCTTTAATGGGCCAACTGGTGGCCTGGTGGTTAAGGCAGCTAGATCCTGCATGACCGACTAGTGGCTTGAGCCCTAGGCCCAGTAGCTTGAAAAGCACACTGGGTGTGTGTCTGTGCCCCGAATCCTGAAAGCAGGGGGAGATAGAGGAAAAGGGACTGCAATGTGACCATTTCCCCAGGCTTGCTCACCCCCACCCCGCCCAACACCCGCCTGTCTGTCTCCAGCAAATGTACATGCCCTTGGGAAAATGAAAATAAAACTTACAAAAAAAGATTTATTTATTTAATTTGATTTGTTATTATTATTTTTATTAATAATTTGTCTGGGGGAGTGAGAAAGCAAGCCGCCAGGTCTGGGGCTCGGTTGGCCATGTGGAAGTCCAGCGCCTTAATCACCACAGCACTTGCCAAACCCAAAATAAAACTTTGCAGAACCAGTACAGCACAGCCCCATGGCCTAGTGGTTAGGGGATCCAGATCCTCCATGGCTGACTTGTAAAGCACATCGGGCACATGTGTGTGAGCCCCCACGCCCTGACAGGGTAGAGAAATGGGGTAAGGGACTGAGGCCTGGCCGCGTGCCACTGGGGGTGCTTCCTCTCCCTCTCTCTGTCCCTCTGGCCAGTGCACCAGAGAGACTACTTCCTGTTTTTGTTGGAGCACACATGTGAGAAAGTGGGGGTGAGCACCATCCGCGGGATCTGACCATGCTGTGAACCCCTACCTCGAATCCTCTAGCCCATCGTGTCTGAGGCACTCATGTATGCACCTGGCATGTTTCAGGCTGATTGAGCTGGGATTTCAAACTATGGTTGCCATGGTGGGATCCAACTTCTCTCTTTTTTTTGAGAGGTTTTCGCTATAGGGTGCGTGCACTCACCAGACAGAGAGAGACAGAGAGACAGAAAGTGAGAAATCACCCCCCAAGGGGGATGGCCATGCTGCAATCCCTTCTCCTCCATTCTCTTGGGATCTTGGACACGCACGCACATGCGCCCGGTGTGAGTTTAAGCTACCAGGTCCAGGACGCGAACTGCGGTCGAATACATGGGATTCCAGCGACATAGCCATTATGCCGACTGCTGGTCCCGGGATCCAGCTTCTCTCACACAGCATATTACCACTGTGCCCAGAGCTAGCCTTGGTATTTTTTTATGACAGCTTGAGTCCAGCCAGGGGATAGGAACAGGCCCATGGTGGGCAGTGCTCTACCGGGCGTCCTCACACCCATGGACTTCTGGCCTGGTGGAAACTGCAGTCGAAGTCCCTTCCTTTGGTATTGTGTGCGTGAGCATGTGCACACGCGAGCGTGTGTGTTTTAACTGTTAGACGGTATGTGTGCTTGTCAGAGAGAAATAGAGACAGAGAAAAGGGTAAACGGAGGAAGCATTCCTAGCAGGGTGTGGTCATGCTCCAGTTCCTTTTCTTCCATTCCTCTGTCCTGTCTGGATTCGGGGCATGTATACACCAACCAGGAGACAGGAACAGTGGGTTAAACAGGAAGTTTCTGTAAAGAGTTGTTAGCTATGAGAAAAGAGTAACTAGAAAATATAAAAAAATAAACAAAAAACCTCTGTATGGCTCCGTACTCTGATGGAAAATACCCAGTGTCGTCCACACTGCTGGGACTGGGATTCGAACCATCGTCACCATGTGGGATCCAGTTCCCTTAACCAGTAGGCTACTGGGCTGGCCATGGAATTGTCTATTGACAATGCTCACTTTTAGGAAAGATTTTTGCTATACAGTGCTTATGCTCACCGAAGAGACAGAGACAGAAAGTGAGGAATCACCCCCTGGGGGATGGCTATGGTCCAATCCTTTCTCCTCCGTTTTCCTCTTGTGATTTCGGGCATGCACGCACATGCACCTGGCATGAGGTTTAAGCCGCCGGATCAGGACTTGAACTGCAGTTGACTGCTTGGGAGTCCAGTGACGTAACCATTACGCCATCTACTGGTCCCATCATCATTCTCACTTTATAGGAGAAATGCTTGAAAGAATTTTATTATCCCAGAGTATATGTTGCAAGGTGCTTTCATGGTAAGAGACAATACATTGAAAACCTATGCAGTTCTTTCATGGAGTTTCTATTATTCTGCTTGTATTTCTCTTTTTTTTTTTTTTTGGAGAGATTTTCGCCATAGGGCGCATGTGCTCGCCAGACAAAGAGAGACATAGAGACAGAAAGTGAGAAATCACCCCCCAGGGGGGATGGTCACACCGCAATCCCTTCTCCTCCATTCTCCTCTCGGGATCTTGGGCACATACGCACGCGCGCCTGGCGTGAGTTTTAAGCCACCAGGTCCGGGACGCGAACCGCGGTTGACTATGTGGGAGTCCAGCGATATAGCCATTACTCTAACTGCTGATCCCTCTGCTTGTATTTCTCAACTGCTTACTCGTTATGGTCATTTTTTTCCTTCAGTTTGTTGGACATTTCATAATAACTTCTTTAATATCTTACCCAATTCTTGGAGAGGTTTTTTTTTTTTTTTTTTCCGCTATAGGGTGTGTGCGCTCGCCAGACAGACAGAGAGAGACATAGAGACAGAAAGCGAGAAATCACCCCCCAGGGGGGATGGTCACACCGCAATCCCTTCTCCTCCATTTTCCTCTCGGGCACACACACCCGGCGTAAGTTTAAGCCACCAGGTCCAGGACTCAGACTGTGGTCGACTACGTGGGAGTCCAGCGGCAGAGCCATTACGCTAACTGCTGGTCCCAATATCTTACCTAATTCTAACATTGGGGTCATCCAAGGACCTGTTTCTGTCAGTTGCTTTTTCTCTTCACTGTGGACTGCATTTTCTTCTCTTTGCATGTCTAGCAATTTCCGATTGTTTGGACGTTGGAGTTTATGAACGGTGGAGGGTTCTGTTGTCTTCCCCTGCTGCGTGTAGAATTTCGTTCGGCCTGGTCGTTGTGTGGAGAGGCGGTCGTCGCCCTTCGGTAGGGAAGGTCGGTCTGTCTTTTGCTTTCGTGTGACGCACCCTTGGTCCTGGATCGGTGAGGGTATACCTTTACTGAATTTGACTGCGAAGGCCAAGGTGTTTATTAAACCCCCCTCACTTGCTAAGGCTCAAGCTCCGGACTTCCAGTAGCGAGCAGCAGCTGAAGTCTCCGCTCAGCATTTTGGCCCGTCAGCTGTTCTTTGTGGGGACCCTGGGAGCCTCACTGCACAGGCGGCTGAGGGGTCAGAGACGTGGAGGG